ATTTCTGCAAGTTTCTTAACCAAAAAGTGGTAGCGCTAACTTTGAAATTGAGCTTGAGAGAAAAGTATAGGAGGGCAAGCCATGTTTGGTTATAATTAGTTGGGATTCCATAAAAATGAAGTTATATTTTAAGACAGATTTAAAAATCCGGCGGGGTAGGTAACCTCAGAACCTGAACCAATAGATTTCACAGCCACAAAACTTACTTTTCCTATCACGTAGCATATGGAGTAGTGGAAAAAAAGAGTTGCTTAAAGATATGATAGTATCCCTCAAAGTGTGTGTGTGTGTGTGTGTGTGTTTGTATGTTGTTGTTTCTTTGACCTCAATCTTTTATGCTGACAGTGTATATTCTTGCAGTGAATTTTCATAAATTTTCATACTTATATTTATTTAAATGTTAGCAATGTTTGTAGGGGAATAATTTCATGCATCTTGTAGACTGGTATGTTTCAAGTAAGATAATACAGTTTGCTAGTATGTAGCTAGAATATTTATTGTCCTAGACCAGGGGTGTCAAACTCAAGGCTGGATCCAGCCCTCGGGGTGCTTAGATCTGACCTATGGGGTGCCCTGGAAACAGTGAAGGACTGACCTCCGGTGCCTTTGCATCAAAAATGGAGCTCGGTAGGGCTGCCCATTAGCTTTGTTTTCACTGGAAAGGGTTGCAGAAGGCAGTTAGAGCCAAAAACAGAGCTCAGGAGCCCATTTTCGCTGGCAGAGCACGTGGGCCACCACAAGCACCCGTGACATGAGTGATGGCAAGCTGGCCCTGTCTGCCTTGGCCACACAGACACCCCCGCCCAAGATCAAACACAACCTGATGCAGCCCTCAATGAAATCAAGTTTTACACTCCTGTCCTAGACAATCAAATCACCATCTCCAAAAGGCATAGCAGCAATTGTTAATTGGCTCACTGGTAACTCCACTTGAAGATGGTTTTCTATGATGTTTTGGGCCTCCCCACACTGTGCAGTACTGTGCGCACACAAATAGATTTGTCATAATCACCACTGAAATTATGCTTGTTCAGATTCTAGAAACTTTCATCACATTTTCAGGAGGTTATAGAAAATGTCACACTACTTGCATATGATTGTTCCTTTTTTCTGCTTTTCTTCAACAAAACATTCTCTTTAAATAAAACATTGGGAGCTGCTGCTGGTTAGTGAATTTCCTTTTACAGATGATTATGGCCCTGTTGCAATTGGATATGTTTTTATAGTGGTTTTAGTCTGATGGATTGTTGTTTCCTTTTTTGTTATATTTTATTGCCATTTTGATTTATAAAGTGTCTTTTAAGAGTCCGATTTATAAGTCCAGTTTTTCATAAACAGACAGGAAGCAGGGGGAAATGCTGTATCCCTCCTTCTGTTGCCACAAACTTAGCAAACTGCATTACATACATGATTGAGTGGCTGCCATGACAAATTAACTTTGTTATGAGAGATACAGAATTTGTGAATGAGATTCCTCTTTGATGGGAAATCTGAAATAACTGTGGATTTTTAATAGTTTCAAATGAAGGATTTATAACTTACCTCTGATAAGTTTAGTCTTTGGAGACTATATATCTTAGCTGCAAAATAGGAGACTGCTCTCTAAAGCACCAAAGAAAAATAATGCTCACAAATTTGGTAGCTATGAAATAAAGGCATCCCTATTTTTTAACAAGCTTCAATATACTAAAGATTGGAAAATAGCATTATATTTGGTCATTTCTCTAATTTCTCCACCTTATTATATAACATCTCTTGCAATGATGACAGAGTAGTAGTTTGCTTAGCAATATAATAAACTTTTATATTTAAATAAAAACCTATTGTTGCTGCATTTATATCATCGGAAATACTTTGTTTAGACTTGTCTTTCTGATAAGATGCTGAAGGAAGATTGTCCCATATTGGGTGGGAAATTGCTGTTTACTTACTAATGATTCTTTAGTCAGAGCAGCACTATAGATTGGTGTTTATTAATAACAGTATTTGAATGCTACACTTAAAAATATCATGTCTATCCCCAAGAATTCTCTCCATTTTTTCTTATAGATGTCTTTCAAGAGAGACAGTCTCTCTTGAAGAAGACTTGTCTCTCTTGAAAAGAAAAGGATGAGAAGGGAGGGTTTTATGGAGCATACACCATGGTGTTCTGGTAATGTTTAAAAGTGGTGCCTGTGCTAATCTAATACAAGCTCGCCACAGATCCCTGGAGAGTTTGCCTGGGTATTCCAAAGCAAGTTTTAATAGAACCCAGAAGGTTGTTCTGTAATAAAATCCAGATTTTAATTTATTCTTGAAAACTAAATTCAGTTTTGTAATGTTTGCATTTTAAAGACTTGCCTGCTCTTTTGATTTGATATATATTTTCTTTTGCATAGAGAGGCTTTTATTTTATTTGAAAAGTTTTACCGTGAGGAGATGTCATTTTAATTGCCATTAAGTTACTTATTTTTTCCCCTCTAAAAGATAACCTGTTGGTCTGAGATTTATGGCTTATGCACTGAAACTTCTCATTTGTTCCCAGGCCACAAAGAAACCTGAAAAGTTTATTTCAAACCACCAGATAGTATAGTCGAAACCATTTTGATCCAAAATGGCCATGGCCATATTTTTATTGCTGTGTCCAGCTTCCTCTCTGACCTTTAAAATGTGCCATTTTAAAATTTCTAATGAAACATCAGAGTAGATCAGTACAAAGATGCACTAGTGTTTAATAGATAACCAGGATAAAAGTGAGATTTCTTTCTGTTCACTGGCAACTGGGTGGGCAGATAATATGCTCGTGTATAAACATCTGTCATTAGTTGATTTTTCTTTCTCAAAAACCATTTGTTAATTTGAATACCAATCTGTCAGGTGTGAAGAACCAGACCCACATATGTAGAGTACAAATTAGAGTGACTATTGCTCAACTCCTCTATTTCACAGGAATCTTCCCACAGCGGCAGGTTGTCTGTGGGGAACATTAGATAAAGTCCAACAGCATTCAACGGGGAGTCAGACTTTGCCCTCTTGTACTTACATTACAACTGAAGAATTTGACCGCTCTTCCCATCCAGAATGGTTGTTCTCCAACATAATTCTATTATACTTGCTGTAATTTTTATCCTTTACAGGTGCTAAATTGTTTAAATCTTTGGGTTCCAGGAAAATATTAGGCTTGGAATTTATATAAAAAACAATATTCCTCCTGTATTGCAGCATATCTGTTCCTGCCTTTTAAAATAGCTTCAGTAGCTATTGTTTCTAAATGAAATAATGGCTAGAAAGTTCTTTGATTGGGAAGTCGGCATTACTTTGAAGACTAGTACTTGCTAGCAAGTACTGCTTGGAAGAACCTATTAATATTTACGTGTAACTTCAGGATTTTTTGTAGATATTTGTTTGGTTATTTGTAGGAACAGAATGATAGGCCAGGTAGATCTTTGAGCGAGTTTTTCTTTGCTAGCCACCTGTTCTTACAAATAAGAATAGGAAGTCACTAGCATTTCTCTCTGTTAACCTATATATCATCTAGTACATGACAGATGACTTAAGTTGTCTTTTGTTCTAATGGGCTATGAATAAAATTCAAATGTGTAGAATGCCTGGATTTAGTTTAGTTTAGGTACATAATATGTACCTAACACAAGGGCTTTCAGATGGTAGAAGAAGTCCTTGTTTTAGAAGATATACTCATAGTAAGTTCACAGATTGCTGTGTGAGCCCCGTACTAAGGAAATAAGGAATAAAGCATTACTGCTACTCTGCATGGTCTTGCACATTCCTGATGGGAAGCAGAACACCTAGCTCACTTAAATGGTTTTCATAATCTTACTCTTGGGCATTGTATTATTCTACTGTTGTGCTGTAACCTCGGGATTATTTACAACAAAAAAGGCATAACTCTTATTATCCCATAACTAGGTTACATGTGGAAGGCTGCATTATTTTATTTTTAATCAGTTTGAACATACTTGAGTGATTTTTTTTAAAAGGTGAGACAAAAGAAACCCAAAGTAATGTATCTTATATTGTAGATACTATTTGAAGATGATATTAAATTAGTTTGCCAGATCTAAGTACGGTTGATTATTAATTTTCATAGATACTGTTCATTGCTGCAGGCTGGAATTTTAAATCAGTTCTAAACCATTCTTTTATATATTGGCTAGAAGCCAAGTCAGTTTTAACTGTTGTTAATAATGTTTCTGCAGGTATATTGTAATAATTAGTTATAGAGAAGAAGGATAAGGGGGGAAGTTCACAATGTTTTGACTTTTTTTCAACTCATATTATTAGTTTAAGTTCAATTTTTCTCAACTAAGGTTTCACAAGAGATTGGGATGGATGGATGAACAAATATCTTTTTTAAACTTTGTCCACTGCACAGTCCTTTGTTCACTGCCCAGTCCTGGCATTACCGGGCCGTGGCCTATTTCCAACTAGGCTGCACAATTAAGTTATGCTGTGCACACATGTGTCTGTGCATCAGCCCTCCGTGCACATGCACATTGGCTTGCCCATCATGGTGGCCTGGTTCCCCTCTCCCCTCACAGGACCACCAAGCCACAAAGGTTGGGAACTGCTGATATAAATCAATTCCTTTATGTTGTGAAAGAATATGAGTTCAAATTCTTTGTTTCACTTTCTTATCTTCCTTTTTCCTTTTTTTAAAAGGTGAACCTGAGAAAGAACTTAATCCCAAGAAGAAAATATGGGAGCAGATCCAACCTGATCTTCAGACTAATGACCAATGTATTGCTACATACAAAGGAGTGCCATTTGAAGTGAAAGGGAAAGGTGTGTGCAGGGCTCCTTCGATGGCCAACAGTGGAATCAAATAAATGAAAGCAAGCTTGGAAAAGTTTGAGATAATTTTGAAGGGAAAAATATGAACATAAATAAATATTGCCTCACTGAAAACCATGTCTCATTAATTTTATTACAACTTTATTCCATACTGTATAGTATGATGTATAGAGTGATGTTAATAACATGTTAGTATTAGCTAATTTTAATATATTTTAATGAAAATATTTTATGGCTATTCAGCTTGATTAGTGCACACAATATAGGCATTTTAAAACCATCATGAATATATGAAATTTATATTTGATCCTGGATACACTGGGTGAAAATAAGTAGTTTTCAATAGTATACTTCAATCTGACACTATGTAAATTGAATCTGAAAAAATAACTCTGTACCCCAAAGCGTTCATCCCATTGGGTCTTGAACCCTGGCTGTCAGCCTCCAGCTGATGAGCTCAGCATCTTTAATCATTGAGTCATCATGCCTCCAAAAGAGTGAATTATAAAAGCGCAAAGAATCCAGAATTTGGAAATAGTAAATTATTTAAATGTATAGCATTGTTTATTTTACATGAAGGGTCTGGAAACTGTTTTGTTTTAGAAACTCCATAATTTTTCTTAAAGCTTTTAGGTTTTCATGTTTTAGAAACCTAGCATGATTGTCAATAAAAATGCATTTTTGCTGAACTAACTGCATTACTTTATGTAGTGCGTCTGAGGCACTATGTAAATATTTGTCTATAGTAAATGATGATTTTTCAATCTGGTCTGCATGAGTAAATAAAATGACAGTGTAAGTTTTCCAGTTAGGCCCAAGGAGTTCCTGCAAAGGTTAAAAAGAAAGGACAATGGCTTAATTATTTTACATACATGATTTTATCTTTTTCAATATCTAAGCCAATCATTGTTTTGAATCTGCAATGGAATATTCCTACCTCCTGCCTCTTATTACTGGAAAATCCCAACCCTTTCAATGGAATGTTTGGGAAGTATAGGTTTGGTAAAAATGAGAATCCAAGTAATTCTGTGTGATTCTATCTAAACTTTTTCATGCAAAATTTGATTTAATTCATGATCACTTAATAATTGCCTAAATGAAACAATATGTTGGACAAGCTATATATATTACTCTGAACTCTACAGGAAAAAAAGATGCAATAAAACTAGATTAATAGAGTAAATATTTAAATTTATCATGCTTAATACTAGCCCCCCCTCCCTTACAATGAACATGCTGTCCTGTGGTCAAATTGAAGATTATAGTAAAAATATTGGCATCACTTTTTTAAATTCATAATATTTTAGTTGTAACTCCCAGCCCGGTGCAATTTCTATTGTAGTTTGATGTTAAGTTCTCTGAGCATTGAAGCCTGGTGTTGGGGCAATATACCGTATTTTTTGGAATGTAAGACACATCTTTTTCCCCCCAAAAAGAGGGTGAAAATCTGGGTGCATCTTATACACTGAACACAGCATTTTTGACTTCCCGAAACCCGGCCCCTTCACAAAAATGGGCTTGCAGAGAGTTTGGGAGGCCTGCAAAGTGCTCCTGGGGGCTGGGGAGGGCAAAAACAAGTGAAAAACAGGCCATTTATTGCTCATTCCCCCTCCCTCCAGTCCCCAGGACCACTCTACAAGCTTAAAGGCTATGCATGCCTCTTTTGGGGGGAAAAATGGGCCTGTTTTTTGCAGAAAATAGCCAGGTTTTTTGCTTGTTTTTGCCTCCCCACAGCACCTAGGAGCACTTTGCAGGCCTCTTAAACTCTCTGCATGCCCTGTTTTTCACAAAAAAAAAAAAAAAAAAAGATGTGTCAGAGGGTTTAGGAAGTCTGCAGGGTGCAAAAACTTTTTTAAAAAATTTACCGCTTCAAAATCTTGGTGCGTCTTATACTCCGAAAAATATAGTGTTATTTCTTATGGACATTACCTCAATCAGTTGTATGGTGGAAGTTTCCTCTTCTTCACACAGTACAACATCGGCTCTTAGAACCAAAAGTGCCAAATGTAGACCTTGCTGTCCAAAGTGATGAGCTACCGCATCTTTGACGTCTTTCTGGATCTGCTCTTTGCTGAGGCTGCTGTGAGGATATCCAGGAGTGTCCAGCACATGGACTTGCACAGTTAGTGCTCTTCCTTGCTGACGCCCAAAATCTGAAATGTTACAGCTGCGGCCTAGGTGGCAGGATGTAGTCACAGAGCACGGGGAAAGAAAACTGGGAAAGTCTCTGCTGCCCAGAAGAGTGTTTCCTGCTGCACTTTTCCCACTTTGTGTTCTTCCAAGCAGGAGGAGATTGATCCTCATCTTGCTATTGTCAGACATCGTATTTCCCTCTCGAAATTCCTATGAGATGAAAAGTGAATAGTAACATCATTTAGCAAAGGAAGCAGCACTATACAGACATTGCTACTATACATTGGAGCTAAGCTTAATTGGTTAGGAAGACCACTTGAAGAAGGAAGCTATTGAATTGCCATTAATAGGCATTAAAACAATAACACTAGATGTCGTTCCACAATCTTTGAGCAGATGTGTGGATCTCTTTGTTCAACATTACATTAGGTTTTTTTAAATATTTAACTTTGCCCATAAAGTTACTTGCCTACATTAAAATATCATTCCAAAAAAGTACGAAATGATTACAGTACTATATCTGGATCAATAAAATCTTCATTTTTAAAAATACCTACAACAAAGGAAATCTGATGTCAGCCTTTCAAGTACATTTTTGGGGAGTCTAGTATTTTTTAATGAATCAATTTTAATCTCAAATCCATGACACAATTTTATCATTTTTAAGAATATGAAGAATAGCTTTAAAGTGAACTGGGCTATTCCAAAGATGAGCTATAGAACTGAAGCCCCCAACAATGGCCACTTTAAAAATAAATATTGTCTTAATTTCATAGGGTTGTTATGGGTTTTACTTATGTCACAGATTTCATCAAATAAGAGCATCTCATAAATGAAAATATTGCTAGTGTTGTGAACTGGGAAGATCATATAGAAGTTGGGAAAAAATCCCAACTTTTGGTTTAAAGTGATAATCCTGTTCTATAAGATTTTATAATAAAATGCTTCATCATCTATTTTTAGAATAGATTTTCCCCCAAAATAGTTAAATATTCACAAATCTTATTATTTAAATCCAATATTTGCCACAATATGATTCCAATATATTTTCACTGCCCACACTTCTGGAAATAAAATATCTTTCTTACTATATGTTGTTCCAAGAACTTGCCAAGACTGCAAGAGAAATAGATAACTTTCCAGCAGAGCTATAAAGAATAATATTCTACTATATTTTCATTCCATATAGTAATAGCTCATGAAATATGTGCTGAATTATATTTTTGCAAATAAGATGAATTAAACCCACCTTCCTCAAATGGCAATCTTAAATAGCTAAAGAAAACTTTGGTGGTCCACTATTCCTAAGTCTCCTATTGATCTGAAAAAGATAGTGTATTTCCTTAGTATTAACATAGGAATACCTCTAAGAACACAAATTAAATCAGGAACAATATTCATTTTTATAGAAAAGTGCAACCATTCCTTCCCCTTATCTCCTCCTTTTCACTATATTTATATTATTCTAGGCAAAAGTATTCAGAATACTGGATTGCCAAAGTCAATGTGAAGTACCGGTATGTTTAGTCTTAAAAAAAAAATGTGCAGCATCATTAAGCAGCAGAAGGCAAACTACCAAAATAAACGTGGCAGACACATTAGATATTCTAGGGGATCATTCAACATCACAAAAATGCTTAGTGCAACCTGATCTAGTATGGTCTTTTGTCTTTTATTCTTGAAGAGCAATGAGGAATATATTGGAAGCTTCCACTTCTCAATTTAAACTACCTAGAAGTTCTTCCACTAAAAATAGAGATTATTTTAATTTAAATTTGTCATATGTATTGCTTATTCAGGACTTACTGGGCTGATGGTTAAGAAAGTCTACTATAAATTATACACACATAGTCACATATTCACATATGCATTCTACACACACACATCTGAAAGAAGCTAGCCCTTAATTCATAACCACACAAGAAAACTTTCCTCCTGAACATACTCTTAGTAAATCTTAAACAAAACCCATGTTTAAAGTTTAGTTTAGTTTTTTTGTTTTATTAAACATTTATAGGCACTGCATTTAGGGAAAAATATCAATACTCAGATAGGAATAGGATCAAACAGCAATCTGATCCTCAGGTACCATCCAAAGCTTACTTACTCTATTGTGCCATGAAGTTTTGTTCTGCTTCTGTCTTGTCAATCTGTACTTTACTTTGAAGCAGATCTTGATAATGTACCACTGTGAGACAGGTACGGAGTCTTTATCAAAGTTAATGAGTTACAGAATGATCGTTATTAAGAAATGATATGAGTGTCCCATCTGTCACGTAATTTATTGTCCTGAAATTGTTAGCCTGATCTTATCTGAAAGTAATTTTTCAGCCAGTATTTTCAATACTTCGATGGTTTGAAGAGCTGTTAACCTTAACAAAGGGAGCTTTTTTCCTTTTTTCCTTCTTCTTGCTACTATTTTTAGTTATCTGTTTTTTAAGAATATATTTTACATGAGTAATAATGTCTATTAATTTCCCCCAAAATCAGTGTAGTAACTTACAATATGTAAAATTAGACTAAAGACTGCAAATATAAGAAATAAAGAACCAAAATTTACTTTATAAACAGAATTTAATAAAGATTAAAATTGTTCTTAAAACAAACACAAATGCTTCAGTTGACTTGGCCCCAGGGGTGGGTTCCTGCCAGTTCTAACCTCTTCCATAGAAGAGGTTCCACAAATCTACCATGTCATTTAAAACTGGTTCCAGCTCCCTCCCCCCTCCTGTCCACACATCATCAAGATGAAGAGCGAGAGGAGGAATTCTGGGAGTTGAAGTC